GTGTGGGGGGGGGGGGGGGGGGGGGGGGCAAGGGATGCGCGCCTTGCGTACCCTTGTCCGGATCTGACAAGTTTGCCGTCTGATGTGCCTGTCTGCTTTCACGTACGCTTGTGTCGTGATATACGCGTCCGCCAGTGCTGTTCGGCTCAAGGGTACGACGCTCCTCCTCACGTACGTATGCTTGGCATCCCTTTCTGCAATACTCACATCTTTGCTTTGCTTAAATGGTTCGGCTGTTGTTCCGCCCGACCGGGGCCCCCAGGTTGCCTCTTCGACAGCCCCTGGCTTCGGCTGTCGCACCCCAACTACACGCACCGCATGAACCACTACGAGAACGAGGTCGCCGATCGCCTGCAGCACCACCTGCTCCACAGCGGTACCCCAAGGAGCGGGTCTTCATCTTCGCCTGCTGTCATTAGAACCTCGGGGATAAGCGCAAGCGGCGGCGGGGGCGGCGGCAGGATCATTAGCGCCAGCAGCGGTGAAACGTCGGAAGACGTCGTGGGGCGAGATGCGAGACCGGGGGAAGTGGCGGCCGGGAGCGTCCGGTGTGACGCGCGATGACACCCTGCGCTCTGGACTACGCCACGTGGCCCCCTCGGAAATCGTACTACGGTATTGTAGTGGTCCCGATATATCGCGGTACCGCGGTTCGCCATACATCGCAGGCGCACTTTCTTTGCAAAACAACCTAACCTGCTCTGCATATACTTAATTGCGTTCTCCAGATAGTGCGGGTCCCCTTATGCCGGGGTGACTTTTGTCTGTCACTACACCACGATATATCGGGACCTACAGTTTTTTTCGTAAGTAGTCTTGCCCCGGAAGGGCCTGGCGTAGCTCGGGGGCAAGCTGGTTGCCTAACGCGCCGCCGCCCCCGCTTGAAAGGGGATGCTTGTACATTCGTGTCTAGAGAGGTAAGTAGAGGGGATGAGAGAGAGAGAGAGTCAGTGAAAGAGTGTGTGAGTGAGTGTGAGAAAAAGAGTGAGAGAGAAAAATAGAGAAAGGGAGAGACATACAGACAGAGACAGAGACAAAGCATCACTACTACTATAGTCTAGACAGGATTTGTCGTTCTTGGTGACAAGCAACCGAGGGCGAAGAATTCTCGCCGTGGTTTCTTGTCTCAGCCCTGGGTAGAGTTTTAAGGTCCTGGTGGAGATAGACGTGGATGCACTGGTGGGGTGTGAACTGGTACACACTCGATTTTTTAGCCCCCCCCTGAAGTAAAGTGTCATAAGTCCCGTTTAGAGAGCGGTACCGTAGTGTGTTTCGATGGAAACATGGGGCGAAGGCGATTCGACCCTCGCTAAATTTGAGCCTCCATCAAGAGTGCTTTAAAGCTATTTTGTCCTGGCCATGTGTCGAAGTGGTGGTGGTGCTGGTAGCCTCGGCAAACTGTGGCCTCAATAGGGGCGGCCCATGTCATCAGTTCTTGAAGAAAACACGTACTTGTGCGTGAACTATTCGCATTGTACCCATTGCCATGTGGGTTAAACAGGTTCGGCGGAAGTCACCACGTTGTGGTGGTACTACCTCACTGGGGGTACACGTCAAAAGAAGAGAGAAGAGGGGCGAGCAGGTGCCAGCAGCGATTGATGAGCAACTGAGTCTCTCGAATTTTGGATCGTACTGCGAGAAGATTGCACGAAAGAGGAAGCGAGTGGGAGGAATCAGTGGCGGGTGAGGCATTCGTTCTCCTCCGCTATGTTTGGCGGAAATAAACCAAATAAAGAGCCCGCTCCTTCCTGGACACCACTTATCTTGTTAACCGTACACGTGCGCGAGCGATCGCATCCCCTGGCTAGACCAATTTTCACAGGTCGGCTGCTCCTCAAGCAAGGGGCTGACAATGGCGAAAATGGTGCTGAAACACTTGAGGTCGAAAGCTTGCGTTGCTTGTGTGCACATCCGTCGGTTTTCGTTTTCGCACACTCTCTCGGTTGAGGGGCTGTCAAGCTTTGGGAGTCTGCCTACGGGGTGTCCGGCAACGCGTCCGTCAAGTCGGCCGAGATCCTCTTCGATTCCAGGGCAGTCAGTCCAGCAGCAACCAACACCGAAGGAAAATCATAAAAAAAAGACGGGGTGGAGTTGTTGTGTTCGACGCGATGCGTTTTTTCTTATGGCTTTATGCCGACTCCAGTCTGCTTTTATTTTTCTGGCGTTCCAACTGATACCAAGCACAATAGTAATACAGTGATATGTACCAAAAAATCAATTGGGGAAGCAGCCGTGGCCACACGGCACTCTATCATAAAAGACGGGGTGGTATTTGTCTTCTCGCATCGCCGAAGGGAGTGAAGGGCTGATTGGAGGTTGACAACACGCACGATGCCTCGGCGCCACAGAATATTCATTCCACCTTGACTGGCTGGGGCAAGGGCAGGATAACCCTCTCTCCCCGCCGGGCCCCCACGGATGAGAAGAACAGTCACAGCAAACACCCTTCCTTGCTACAAGCGTTTCGCCAGTCCTTAACCAACAAAGAAACAGACAAATACCCTAGCAAAACAAGAACAGACACGCACATACATCGGGGACGCGAACAACCCCCGCCACATCTCTTCCTCGCAAAAAAAAAAAAAGTGAACGACCTAAACCCGCCCAAACCCCACAGCAGCGCGCAAACGCTGGAGGTGTCTCCTGCCGTGGTTGGCATGGAGCAGCGCTCAGGTTCCAGACGGGATTGTCAACGGGTACGATGACATGGCAACCTTAATGCCAGAGAGCCAACCTCTCCGGCCACCAATCTTCATGCTACAGAGAGGGCAGACGGACGGAGCAGCAGTGACTGGCACGTATGCTCCCATTATGCGCTCATCTCTAAACAGTCAAAACAGCTTTGGGATCGTCAGATATGCTTGCCCCGAAGCGGGGAGGGATTGCCCGGTCAGGGACAATACTCTAGCATCCCCTTGCGTATCTTCCATTTGACACCACTGTAGACTAAGCCTATTGGCCATGATCGGTTTATTTACAACGAGGGAACACAACCCGACACCGCCTGGGGGAAGCGGGAGAGAGAGACAGGGAAGGGGAAATCATTCCCTTCCACAGCTCCCAGCTAAACGAGCAAACAACTTTTAGGATTCACGCGCAGAAGCCGGGGAGTGTTGTACGCACGCACGAAACAAGGCTTCTCCACCGGAATCACCGAACGGTTCGTCAAAAAGTGCAGCTACCGATCTCTGTGTCACCACAACAGTGGTGCTAGCTCTCATGATCGTATGGCAAATGCAACGCCGATTTGGCGTGTGACCAATGCACGGTCTTTTCACATGCAGCATGGGGCCCACAATCTTGGGTGGAGAAGTCTGAACACTGCTGCTGCTACTGCTGCTGCTGCTGCTACTGCTGCTACTGGTGTCTGCAAGGGTTCGCCACAATAACGCAGCAAATCAGACAAGCCCACTTCCCTATTCTTCCATGGTATGTCTCCCGTCTTGGTCTTCCTCCTCCTCCTCCTCCTGCTCTTCGTCCATGTCCATTTCTTGGATGTCCGGGCACAGCAACACGTCCACGAAACTGGTCTGCCCCATGCTCATGGGGATCTGCGCGTCACCAAGAATAATCGGCGGGCACAGGTGATTCTGTCAGGTAACGAGAAAAACTATTTCCCACGGTTATCGGGAATCCATGTTACAAATAGAGCTTGGTGGGTTTCCGTGCCGAGTATCGCTCCCCGAAGAGGCCGCATGAAGTCATTCGCAGCTGTCATCCGTTGCAAGGAAGGTAAGTACAAGATGCCGAACACCCTTAGCAAGATACAGCGCAACGTCCATGCGACTCGCCGAATGCCTCACGGCGCTTCGCGCTTGGTGGTGCGAGAGAGCCTGGTCCGGTGAGAACCCGGCCTGCTCCGTCCCGGCTTTGTAGCGATGGGAGGTCAATGGTCAAACGATTACGGCATGCACGACTATGAGTACACCCCCCCGAAGAGACTGCATCATGGGCCGCCGCAACCCACTTAGACACTCGATATGGGGACGCAGACACCCTAGTCAGCGCACCCAATCACCGACCGCCTACATATCTTGACGGAACTTCGTGTGTTTCGAGTTCCGCTACCCCTTCAGTTTCCTGGTGGCTGAAAGGATATACATTCCATCGCCATTGAATCAGGGGGTCTCGTTGTGTGCGAGCGTCAAAGTTGACCACTGTACCCGAGGGATCGAAGCAGTAGCGCCCCCGCTTGGCAAATGGATGCCAGAAATCTATTTCAGCCCATCCCCCCTCCCCGCCCCCGACAACCCGTGTCTCCGCGTGAAAACGAGGCGTCCAACGTGTTGGGCATTTACCCCGACTCGTGGCAATCAAGCCACCTCATGCGGTGGACCCCGCCCGTGACTCGTGTTGCTTCAACAAAGACAGGCACGTCGCCTGATGCTGTACCAGTCCCACAGGCCCCTA